GGGCAGGGTGACCAAGTTCTTGCCTGTATCGGCCTGAGATGAAGAAAAAACATCCATCAGAAATAGAGAAACTAATTCCTCAGCATGTTTGTGCTGATCTGTGGCGAACAGCGCGGGCAGCGCTGTGCTGCAAAAGGGCAACACGCTCGGGGACCACTGCTTCTCCCGTTTTCTTAGCAGTAAGTGCGGTTTCCAAAAGTGCCCCCTACGTCAGCCTTCCCTGCACACACAAACCCTCACGTGGGAAGTAAAACAGAATTATGTTGATCAGCTGGAGAAAATAAAATAATTTCTCTGAAGGGCCAGGTTTTAAGCCCCACTCTCCCCTTAAAAAATTTAACTGGATTAAACGGGGTCGGGCAGAGCGCTTCCCCACGGGCAGTAATGCCCGTACCTTGTCGATGTTGAGGGGCAGCACATAGCGGCGGGAGGCTGCGGCGCTTTCTCCGCCTGCCGCTTCACCTCATCCCAGTTTGCTCGCAGGTTGGCCAAGTAGAGGTAATTGTAAACAAACTCGAACCTGCAGAAACACAGGGGCACAGGCGGGATTTGAAATTTGGGGGGGGATCAGATGCAGCTGGTTGGGCTTTTTTTTCATGAAATCGCCCAGCTCCTTAGCAGGAGGAGCCAGGCAAACCCAGCAACCGCATTTGTTGGCCCCATGGCAGCGGCCAGGATTGCCTCGGCGTGGGGTGTCCCAGCTATGTGGCCAACATGGGCTCACACATCACCGTTTTCGGTGCCACGTTGCTCTATGCTTGCAAGAAAAGCAGCATTCAAACCTCAACCAGGTACTGCTCATTGCAGCCCCAGGAGCTGAATTAGCATCAGCCCTCAGGTAACTCACTAACATTTGTTAAAGACGAAGGCAAATTAAATATAAGAATAATTTATTTTTCTCTAAAAATGAGTTTCAAGCAGGCTCTCTGCACCTCTGGCTAACCTCCACACTGTATTGTCTACTTGTCGCCGCGTAGGAATGGTGAGAAGGGTCGGAGGGAGTCGGTGTGAGTGCCTGGGGCGATTCCCATGGGGAAGGGACGTGCCAGTGCAAGGGCTGGCGTGTCTGGTGCCCCAATGGCTCCAGCGATGCCATGGGGACCCTCGGGCTCGGCCCTGCCAAGACTCACCCCTTCCAGGTGCAGAGGTCAACGATCAGAAACCCGTTATCTTCATAGGTGTTAATGTGATGGAAAAGGTTGAAGGCCGAGGTGCGGTATTTGATGTTGAGGAGCCTGCCTTTCTTTTTCTCTGCCACGTGAAGCCAGACCTGAAAAATCAAGCAGCAGCTCGGTTTAGGCTCAGGGAAACAAAGGCAAAACCACAAAACCAACATGGTGGACCGCCTGGCCCAGGGCTGGCTGCCCAGTACAGCCCAGTTTGGTACGACCCGCTGCTTACCCCCATGGTTTCGTTGGACTCAAAGCAATCCATGTAGTTGGCTCCCCAAAGGCTCCAGGAGGAGAGGAATTTGAGGAGGTTGATTTTCACTGGCGTTTCGACAAACACGATGTAGTTTGAGGTCAGCCCAAAGCTGTTTGGGAACACGTGGGGAGCACAGCAAGTTGGAACAACCTTCCCCCACAACCAGTTTGTCTTCAGCAGCGAACAGAGCACACAGCTCATTGCTTCAAGTGACAGGAAGGTGAGCACCCAGGTTTTGGTACATCCCCTAAATTTAGCAGCCGAGAACAAGCAGAGTGCACAGAGCACGTCCGCTTGCGAATCCCTCTTACCCACACTGTGAAACGGTACCTGTGAACGTAAGAGGGCTTAAACCTGTCGCTGCAAGGGAACTGCACCACCACCTCCGACTTGTTCATCGGGTCTTCCTTGTCTAGAACGGGAGAGTTAAAGGGTTACGGAGGGTTTCACCCACCCGAAGTCTGTGTTTATAGTGTTTACCCAGCGAGCCTCTGCCGTTAATGCAAAGGGAGTTCATGATTTAGAAACCACTTGTTAGTGTTTTGAAGGATAATGCTTCTCTTACTTAAAAAAAGTGAATAAAATCTAACGAAGATAAAAGCAAGCAACTTGATGACAAAACTCATTTGAAGGATAAAGAAGAAATTGATTTATAGGAACCTTGGTTTGCCCAGGGGTTGGGCTTAACTGACCTGCCTGAAGCGGAGGAATCCGTATGATGTTATAGGCGAGTGCAAAATTTTTTCCAAAGCAATTGCCGATGTTGTAAACCGTCCCGTCGTTTTCAATATGGGGATGAGCCGTCGCCCCGTTGACAGACACATATTTACAGAGATCCACCTGAGGAGCAAGGCGGAGAAAGTCAGGAGCTTCCTCGGCAGGAAATGGGAAGTCACCAGCTCTATGCTGTGTCACAGGTCAACATGTCCTCGCTCCGTACGTGGGAAGTTCTTCTCAAAGCCCAAATCACCATCCATCCTGTGAAAAGGAGAAGAGCGGCCAAGCCAAGCAATCCGAGGCAGTCGGGTGAGCTG